TATCAATATAATGCTGAATATCTTAAAAAGATTATAACCAAGTTCTGGTATATAAAACGGAAAGATCCGATTGCCAAACAAATATTTAAATCTAAACCAGATATGGGTTTCAAAAACAATAAGAATATTAGCGACATGATAATTATCTGAGATAACTGACGGTTTCTTATACATCCATGTTTCTAACCGGCAAGGTACCTACACAAACTTCTTCAAATGCTAAACATGGAGACTTTTGTATATTATCATATAGATGATAAAACAAACACGCCAGTATACCCTGAATTCAACAGTATAACATTGATAAATACTATCTCTACTAGATCCCGTGTAGATTTATGTTGAATTAATTAGTGATGAAAATAAAGACAATAAGTCTTTTCATTATATATATATATATGAATAATTGAACAATAGTGTTGATCAACTTGGTCCGTTTCTTCAGTCTGTAAAAAGACTAGCTACAACGTAGGCCTATATACACGTGTAGTTAATAAATAATTTAAAAAACTGTAATGAAAAAGACACACATCTATCTACTATACTAGATACGAAATAAATACATAAAGGTCGGCCTCTGATGAGGGTTTACCTGGGAACATTCCCGGAAGAACCCGAAACATTGCATATTAAATACTAAAGAATTAAGCAATAAAAAGTACGTAGTGTCAGGTCAGAAATATTGATACCATACCATGAATAAGTGGGTTTATGGTCTTTTCATAAAACTATATGGTACGACGTATTCCTGATCGAGAAACTACGTACGACACTATACTATATGCACAATGCAATAGTATACATCTTTCTATATGTTTATAATATTGTACATCTTATACAATATACATATACCAATTTATGTAAATAACAGAAATCTAAGATATAAAATTAAATAAATAACTTATATCTATGTGTACACAATAAAGTGACAAAAAAAAAAATTTCAAAACAAAATAATATTATACAAAAATAAACCCTATGTATAGAACATACAGGAAAGTAATATATACATCTATAAATGATGTTGAATCATATTTTATATCAATATTATGGTCATTGTAATTTATTAACTAATTAATTAAATGATAATAATCCCGTTTCATCGAAATGGGAGTTGACAATAATATTGTCACACAATACGGGACAATATTAAAGCACCAATGAATAATGTGATATTTAATTTATGATCTTGTCACCACTTATCAGGTGATATGCCCCCATAAATAGGGATGCATGCTACTTATCTGTTACATATGCAATAATCATGGACATTAAAGTAGACATCGATATTGATACAGATAGCTTAGATTTGATGGATGATATGCCTCCATGTGGTCAAAGTGCCAGAAGTAATTCTGAAATTGTTGAAGACACCATAGCAGAAGTCAGGAAACTGAATGACACTAGATTTCCGCTCATGACACTGATTCATAGAATGAAATATGACAGAGAAAGTGACAAATTTTCGTGTTTGAACATTTCATTTAGGCCAAACTATGGCAACAAATAGAACTTTGAAGCTCTGAAAGAGCCAATGGATAAATGTTTGATAGAGGCCAAAGAACTGGCATATCAGTCGGTGGTAAATGTACTAGGTACCCGTGTGCAAGAACTAAATTCCGCTATCAGCACAGTGTTAAACACAGGAATGTCAATCTTTGATATCAATAGCCCACCAAGTGGAGAGGCTGGGACTAAATTAGCCAAAGAGGCCAACAATCTTAATGAGGAATACACATTAAAACTGAGAAAGTTCATTACGGACATGAAACACAAATCCCGTTCTGACAAAGAGAGCCCTAGAGGGCCGAACAGAGACGGGGACGAAAGAAGAACCCCATACTCCAGGAACGAGAGACGGGATAAGACTCCCAAAACAGATCTAGAAAACAAAGAGACAATGAATCTAAAAACAATGACCTGCTGAGTATATTCTAGGACTTTATAAAAAGGCGCTAACACTAGTGAATAAACATACCTTTTTGTGAATTTTAAACTATGTATATTCATGTATTAATACTATGCAGTTCATAATTATACGTTTTCACAACTCAATTTTGTCTATCATTGATTAATGAAAGTCATCTGATCAAGTACTTAAATATTGATTATCAATGAAATATGGAAGTTATACTATTAGATTAGCAAACAACCATGTTTCATCATTATATCATGTAAAACCCTAGAAGGAACATGAACAGCTAACAACAACAATGATTGTCAATGAAGTATGGAAGTTATACTATTATACGCGAACAACCATGCTTCATCGTAATACCATATCAAACCCAAGAATCAAACACATATCATGAAATGAATATGATTATCAATGAAGTATGGAAGTTATACTATTATATTAGCAAACAACCATTCTTCATCGCTATATCATGTCAAACCTTAGAAGGTAACATGTAAACTGATTACAAGTTAACATGATCGACAATAAACAAGGAAAGTTTGTACTATTATACTAGCAAACAACCTCAAGTCATCACAATATCAATGTCCTAAATGTACATGTAATATTTGCCACTGGACATTAAACAAACAACAATCAATCATACATCATTATATCTGTGGAAGTTATACTATTATACTATTATACTAGCAGACGAACTTATGTCATCCCACTATACAAAGATACATGAAATATGTGCCACTGGACATCAAGAAACTAACAATAAATCATCATCAGTGTATCTGATTGAGAAAGCTTACAACTAGTGTTTTAATAAATACCAATGAAATACATGGCAGCGAAAAATAGAAAGAAGTCACTAGCTAATATTCCAAAGGGAACATAAATTATATCACAAATACAGAAATAAGAAGTGTATACCTATCTACGCCTATATTCCTAAATCGAAGAATTCGATTGGCTGCTGTAATAATTATCATCTATCATTCATGTAATAAAAGGCTCTAATAATGACCTTTATTTCAATAAAGAGCAATCTTGCCATTGATCACTGACACCATTGATAATCATGGGTCGTACTAGAAGATATTATAAAAACAAGAAAAGAAATAAAACAAAGAATAAACATATAAGAGTCATTCTCCATAAATATCAAAGTAATTGGAAAAATCTAGAAACACATAGTCACAGATTTTAATGAAATTGTGTATCCAGACTTCTTTAAGATGTCTTATTGTGGAAAAAATGTAAAAAGTCGAAAAAAAAAATCTGGTTGCCATTGAAACTGAGTATCCTCATTTTTAGCCATTTTTCATGGGAAAAACATGATTTTTTCAGATTTTCAGCACTTGATATTGCAAAAATACACTGAACTTGCAATAATGTAGCATTTTCTATTCAAATCTATCATGATTTAACTTTATATAACTAAAGTATTAAAGATTAAAACTAATTTCTAAACATGCAGTGGCATGCATATAAAGTTGTCATTTGGCACTTTTGTTGTAAAGTTAAAAAAGTGATTTTTCAGCCTTTTTTAAGAGTCTAACAACAAAAAAACTGGACAACAGACCTTATTGAAACTATTGTACAATGAAGTTCCATTAGTAATCATAACAATATTAAAAAATTAGAGAGGTGATATTTTTTGTTAATTTTTTTTTTAATTTGAAAATTGCTCTTAACCCTGATATTTAACAAAATCTTCATAAATGCAGTGATACATAACCGGTATATAACCAGACTGCATAAGAGATATTGAGTCAAACTTTCCAAAAGAAAACTTATGAACAGCCTTTTGAGAGAAATAGACAATACTTTTTCAGTTTTATCATTTAATATGGTTGCCATGGCAACACAATTTTGTCTAAACATAGCATATTAGTAGCACGAACACAATAGAGTGCATATATCGTTTTGCATAAGATTATTAAAAACAACATGACTATGCAAAACTATTGTTAGTATGCATGAATTAAAATAATACAGATTATTAAAAACAACATGACTATGCAAAATTATTGTAAGTATGCATGAATTAAAATAATACAGGTAAACCAAAACAAAATCTACATCACCCCCCCACCACATCATCAGAATCTGTTTCAGGTACATTTATCTTCTGTTTCAGTTCATGGAAGTTTATGTGACCCGAATCTTCAATGACTTGGAGTTTAATTGACTCCACTGTGGATATGTTTGAAATAAGACATGCTAGAAAGAAAAAAAAACTTTCAATATATCAAAAAGATTTATTATTATGTTTCAGCATAAGTTGAACAACTCATTAGTGATACACTTACTTATACATGTGTTATATATATATATAGAAATTAAATACTTGAAACATGATCTTAGAAATTGATTTTAAACTCAATATTGATAAAGTTGAACATTTTGTATGATTATGAATGTTTTGTAATAACTAGTGTATGATTTGTGATGATGAATGTGTTCATATTATAAATTGGTTATAGAAGGCTTCAGATAGCATTTTTCAAAATTTCTTGTTTCGATAAATGTTGTTCAAGTTGACAAAGTTACTAAATATGTTCATATGCCAATGACTCAGCTGAGTATTCATTTATATGTTAGGTTAATGTTATAAAATGAATTTCTCGTCTCAATATTTTGAATAATTATAATAATCAAACAGGTTTTTATATCAATTTATTTGTGTATAAACTTGACCAATTCACTCACATATTCAGACTTTTATGTGCTAATTGTTGATTTGATCTATTATATACACCAATAAATCTCTTTAAAAAACTGTATATTAGTGTTAGCTTTTAGCCCAATTTTGTTCTATAGTTTATGATGAAACTGCTGGTCATTATTTGTGAGAAAGTTTGAATTCACATATTTTGGACAGAGACATGATTGATAATTCTTCATGTGTTTAATTTTGGTGTAGAGCAACTGGTGGAAATTTAGTTCTATGAAAGATTTAGTCTTATACATAATTTAAAATTTGTTTCTGAGAAACTATAAACTCAACTGCAGAGCATTATAGAACTATAATCTTCAGCAACCTCTGCATTCACGAAAATGGTCAAAATTGTATAATACCTACCTTGGTCAATATTGTATGCCTTCCATACTCTGATTCCATTTCTCTCAAAGGTGAAGTTTGAATATGTTGATATTGATGGAATAACACGGTCCACATTTTTAGGTTTTGCTGTCATATTGCTTACCACTTTTATTCTATATATAACATTCTTCATTGACTTTTCAATGGCCTAAAAAAAAAATAACAATATATTGATTGCTAAATTGGATAATTTTCTTTGATAATCAATAGCTTGTGACCATAAACAATTGACACGTTATTGATATTTTACATTCATATTGAAAGCTTTTGGTTTCAAACTACGAAATTGCAGTCATATACAAGAATAAAAAACAGATTTATCTGTTAAATTATATTATAGACACTTTTTATGCCCCATTTATGGGCATTTTGTTTTTTAGTCCGTTCTTCCGTCCGTCTGTCTGTTGGGCTTCAGGTTAAAGTTTTTGGTCAAGGTAGTTTTTGATGAAGTTGAAATCCAATCAACTTAACTAAATACACATGTTCCCTATAGCTATGTAATAATCTTTCTAATTTTAATGCCAAATTACAGTTTTGACCCCAATTTTACAGTCCACTGAACATAGAAAATAAATGGGGCATCCGTGTTATGGACACATTCTTGTTTATATATATTTTAGAAGAAAGGAATCGATGATGATAAAAAAAATCATTTGTTATATACTTGATTAAAAATACCATTATCTCATACAAAACTATAATCATCATTATATAATATTCGATTAAATAAAAAGAAAAAAGCAGTTTTGAATGTGTTGACAAAGTTATTTCAAGTACCTCAGCTAGTCCATTAAGAATAAAATAAAAAGTATTTGTGATAAGTCTTGTCTTGACCTTTGGAATAAACTTCTGATTTATGTAGCAGTAAAATGATGTTGCCACAGTTTTTAAAAGTTGTTATTTTGTTTAATGATTTTTTGTTGAATTTATCACCAATTCTTATCACCTACGTGTACTTTAATGATTTTTCAAAGGTACATGTATAATACATAAAAAGCAAAATTCTTACCTCTTTCATATGATTGGCAGTTACAACATCATTTCCTTGGTTGATGTGTCTTCTTATTGCTGATTTAACAGTTGCTGCTGTCCTATCACAGGGGCCTTTGCCATTCTGTGCCTCACAGAAGTTGTAGGTTTTTACACTGCCTAGGTTAAAGAGATGTGCCATCATTTCTAAGGATTTCAATTGTAACAGGCTGCATTGTCAGACCAAAGATGAAACTGTGTGTTCTGGTTATCATCTTGGATTGATGTGATTACATCCTGTATTATGCCACTGGTAGTGTGACTATCCTGTGAGGTCTGGTTTGAAAATATATGGATAAATCCAAGAGAGTGTAGAGAATTATGAATTTTCATAAATGCTATTGACAAATGCCATGGAATCCCTCTCTTTGCAAACCAGTCACATTGATCTTCTCTAAACTTTCTTGGCAAAAATTTCATAGCCCAATCGCAAACTATGAAGACTTCATTTTCCTTCATTTGTTCAAATGTGTCATTTTTGGCTATCTTGTAATTGACACCTAACAAGATGTTTCTTCAAGTTGATGATACTTTGTGCTGCCTGGTTTATTTTAAATCTCATATCATTTACTGCATCCTCATGTTCAGTAGTATTGGTTACTATTTTTGTCATCGCTGTTATGATTTCTTTTAGCTGTTCACATGATTCGCAAATATGTGTATGCGAATGATTGCATTCAGATTAAAATTTTCATCTTTAGGATCGCTTCCTCCATATGTAAGACAATGGTCTGCAACTTGGCATAACTGAGCAACATGGACCTGAAATTAGAATAGGCATGCATATATACCATGCTTTCTAAAAACCTTTATCTTTCATTTACAAGTATTTGGTATTTTACTTTTTACATTATTAAATCTTGTTTTACTGTCCTGACATCACAGTCATAATTTACTAGTCAGGTGTAGCATAGAATTTGAAACCAAGAGTTCTGACATTGTGTGCTCTAATTGTAGTTTGTTATTTGTTATACTGTTCATACAAACTAAAAGGAAAGTGTCATTTTTTTCTTATTTTATCTAGGTTTATGTTCCACTTCATTGATGACAATTAGACCTAGGACTATGACATTTGGTAAAGTTATGTCCTGAAATTCTAATTCTAGTATGACACTGTATTGATTGCTACTTTTTATTACAAAATTATGTATCAATACCTTCTTTTTGTGATAAAGAACAGTGTTTTACTGTCCCCAACCCATCACAGTGCAAAGGGCAATAACTCCTAAAAAATAATTAGGGTATTACACTCAAATTAAAATAAAGTCTTGAAGATTACTGGACAGCTAGATGGACGGACAGACAGATGCACAACAATGCACTGTTCCTATTTAGACGGGCATATAATAAATTTTAAAAATGGTGTTTTACTGATGAAATGACAATAGAAATAATAAAATGCTTCGCTGAGCGCAGCTGGATACGACCGCAGAGGTCTAACCCTGAACAGTTGGGGCAAAAATGGACACAATATTTGCGCTTGATACAGGTCTGAAATTGGATTGTAATTAAATATTTGACACAATAGGTTTCTGACACAGAATAACGGTAGTCAAAGAACTTAGAATTGATTATATGATTTGAATTTATATTCAATTTTTTGCTTTTGTGCAATACACCATGCTGTTGCGTATTGACCCCCCCCCCCCCCCCTTTATTTTGCAAAAAAAAAAAGAAGAAATTTTCTTTTTAATTTTTGAAATCTGAAATGAGAAAAAATTAACCTTTTTTGCCCCTAATTCCTAAACGGTTTGAGCCATAACCCCCCAAAGTCAATCCCAACCATCCCTTTGTGGTATGGAAACTTGTGGTATAATTTCAGAGATATTCATACATCGTTCCACAAGTTGTTGTCTGGAAGCTAGAAAAATGCTTATTTGGGCCCTTTTTTGGCCCCTAATTCCTTAACTGTTGGTACCATAACCCCCAATCAATCCAAACCTTCCTTTTGTGGTATTGAATCTTATGGTAAAATATCATAGAGATCCATTCACTTAAACTAAAGTTATTGTGCGAAAACCAATGTGTCTTCGGACGACGACGACGACGCCAACGTCATACCAATATACGACCAACTATATTCAGAGAAATAAATATTCACACATACCCTAAAATCTGCCTTCATGTATCTTCTTGACTGCAGCAAATGTTTGTTGATATCACTGAATTCAGTTTGAGTCATCAGATCAAGACTGTGTAATTCTTTAGCTACAGCCTCTAGGGTAGCAAAAGCCCTCTCGCCTTCAGGCACAAAATAGTCAACACCTTCAAAGCTTTGTCGGATGGTAGCTGTACATTCTGATAAAATTTTGTACATCGTACTTTCACCTGCAATAAAGAAGTATGATCAATATTTAATATGTAAACAGCTGAGTTCGATTTTAAAACCACATTTTAGACAAAACAAAGTTCTGTTACTCTAAGACAACGCTAGTAAAAATCATTAAAATTGAGGGGGGATCTTATACTGATAATGATTATATCATTCAGTAAAAAATTTGTTAGTGTCGGTCAAAGCAATCTTGATTCATTATACAAAATGGAACAACTACATTTTTTTTCATAAATAAAGTACCATAATTCTTGGACAACTAAAGTGAAAATCATAATACATATGTATACCAAATACCATTTACCTAACACTAGTGGTTTTCCCATAAACTATCCTAATCACAAACTTATACATGTAATCTAAAAAAAAGTTTCAAAGTCGATAGACCTTGACTAGCATACCTATGTCTTTCTTTTTTTACTAAGTCAAGGTGAGACAAAAACAATTATGGATTTCTTGTAACAAGTATGCAATATTATACAAGAGGCTACTTGAAACTTCTTGATTTTATTCTTACCTAATGGAATAATAGTGTTTTTTTCACAATATACTTTGTACTGTTGAATAATATCTGAGGAGCCCATGCATTGAATCAGGTTTGGCACATTTTGAACTGTTCCATCAGATAATTTCAATTTCTTTTCACCATATGGTAGATCTCTGATAATATGTGGCGATGTTATAAATTCTAAGAAGCTGTCAAATTTCATTGGATCCATTTTTTTTCTGTGTGTTTCTGCTGGTGGTACAGGCAGCCCATAGCCAAATTTCTCTCCATGTTTTTTTTGATGTGTAGTATTTAAACTCTGTTAAGTCAGGGATAAGTTGCAATACTTCTTGGTATGTCATAAACAATGACAGCATTGATAATAATTGTCTTCTATGCTGCCAAGATTCTGATTTCTGGTAAAACTCAGCAATTGTTGATATTGTTGCAAGAGGTTTGATATTTTCATCAGTTGACTTTGACAGAAAAATCTGCTGTGAGACATCACTAAAATTCTCAGGGAAAAAACATCCTATGACACAGTCAATAATATTTTGTAGTCTATCAACATACAAGTATTGAGATTTTTTGGACAGTTCAAACCAGGACTTTAATGGAAGGCTGGAAACGGTTTTGCTGCCATTAACCTCTAAAAAGCGATTTAAATACTGAAGTGCCTCTTCTCTTTGGTAACTGGCTTGTGATTCCTATAAAAAAATACATGTTCATCATTCAGGTTCATGACATAAAAGTGACAATGGTCAAATATACAGTATTCTTCACTCAATGTATCAATATTGATATTCAGTATCTGGTCTGATTTACAAACTCACTATGAATAGATTGACAAATTAAATGATGATTATAATTTTCTTTGTTCGCTGTTGCCCATTTGTATATTTTTCTTATTGCGTAGGTAGATAGAGAAATTATTCTTTTTATGAAAAGATATAACATGTAAAATCTGCATGGAATTAGATATAAATTTGACAGTCATATAAATTGAAAAAGATAAAATGAAAAGCATCAATACAAAATTTTGGGTAGTGCTTATTTTATGTGTAGGGATCCAGTGAAAACAGAAAAACAAAAGGAATTTTATTTCAGGCCCAACATTCAGCAGCTATTTCGATGCATAAACAAGATGAGCATATGAGCAACACAAAATGTTCATTTTACATAAACTAGAGGCTCTCAAGAGCCTGTGTCGCTCGCCTGTGTCGCTCACCTGTATTGACTGTGGATTTGGAAATCATGTGAAATAAGTTAAAATCATAATAAATAGTATTAGATACCCCAATAAAGATTGAGACTAAGTTTGGGTTAATTTGGTCCAGTAGTTCAATTAAAGCAGGTCATCTCATTGCAGTCTTACAATAGTTACCGAAGACCCTTTATCATTTAAATCAGTTTTCAAGTTGTGTCCATTTGAATTTATTTCTTTTTTACAATTTTTTTATAGTGAACACCTTTGTTCTATTTTTAGCCATAGAAGCCATCTTGGTTGAGGGGCAGATTCATTGGATATTTTTTTAAGAGTAGATACCCTAAGGAATATTTAGGCCAAGTTTGGTTTAATTTGGCCCAGTAGTTTCAGAGAAGATTTTTGTTAAGGTTTCCAAAATTTGAGAAAAAATGACTTTAAAGAGCTACTCCTTATGGGATCAATTGACAATAATTTGGTCATGTTGACCTATTTGTAGATCTTACTTTGCTTAACAAATTTGCTGTTTACAGTTTATCTCTACCTATAATAATATTCAAGTTAATAACCAACATGACCAAACAATGCAAAATTTTCTTAAATTTCCAATTTAGGGGCAGCAACCCAACAACAGGTTGACTGATATGTCTGAAAATTTCATGGCAGATTGATTTTGACTTGATGAACATTTTTTTGCTCTAAGTTCCTCAGAAAGATGAGACGAAAAATATTTATGGGACGGATGTGGACAGACAGAGATTTTAAAGTGGGGTTACAATGATTCAGCTTGAGTGAACAATAAATGATATCATAAAAGAGCTATATAGTGTTATACCTATGTAGATTGCGGTTCAATTGTTTCTGAATCTGAATCTGAGAAAATAATACTTCAATCAAACTCCATTTGACATGTCTCATGTGTCTGTAAGTAAATCATATAAAAATTAAATACACCACATGGCAACAACTTGTTGAGAGTAAATCTCAGAGGATTAATTTTTTTGAACATGCACATTCTGTTGATGGGCCTCACTGTGACTTTTAGATAAAGAACAACAATGCAAGTGCTGTTCCTTTGCTTTTTGTGTTTATTTGTTGTGGTGTGTGTACTGATTTTGTGTCATGGATGGATACCCCATATCCTTAGTTTTTCTTTGTGTTTATTTGTTGTTGTGTGTCTACTGATTTTGTGTCATGGATGGATACTCCATATCCTAAGTTTTTCTTTGTGTTTATTTGTTGTTGTGTGTCTACTGATTTTGTGTCATGGATGGATACCCCATATCCTTAGTTTTTCTTTGTGTTTATTTGTTGTTGTGTGTCTACTGATTTTGTGTCATGGATGGATACTCCATATCCTTAGTTTTTCTTTGTGTTTATTTGTTGTTGTGTGTCTACTGATTTTGTGTCATGGATTGATACCCCATATCCTTAGTTTTTCTTTGTGCTTATTTGTTGTTGTGTGTCTTCTGATTTTGTGTCATGGATGGATACCCCATATCCTTTGTGTTTATTTGTTGTTGTGTGTCTACTGATTTTGTGTCATGGATGGATACCCCATATCCTTAGTTTTTCTTTGTGTTTATTTGTTGTTGTCTGTCTACTGATTTTGTGTCATGGATGGATACCCCATATCCCTAGTTTTTCTTTGTGTTTATTTGTTGTTGTGTGTCTACTGATTTTGTGTCAACGGATGGATACCCCATATCCTTTGTTTTTCTTTGTGTTTATTTGTTGTTGTGTGTCTACTGATTTTGTGTCATGGATGGATACCCCATATCCTTAGTTTTTCTTTGTGTTTATTTGTTGTTGCGTGTCTACTGATTTTGTGTAAATGGATGGATACCCCATATCCTTTGTTTTTCTTTGTGTTTATTTGTTGTTGTGTGTCTACTGATTTTGTGTCATGGATGGATACCCCATATCCTTAGATATTCTATTATAAAGTTAAACCATGTATAGTAAAATTTGTAAAAAAAATCAAAGTGAAATATAATTTTGTTGTTGACCAGAAGATTGTTTTAGAGGTAATCTGTTCATGAGGACTGCAATGGTGAAAATAAAATATCAAGATATCTATATACTATAAACATTCAAACATGAAATCTTGATCCAATCAAATGTTTTTAACAGCTATCAAAATTATGAAATTCCAATATTAGACATGTTAAACAGACCACCTGCTAATTTAATATGCCATATACCTAAAGTTGAAATAAATGCCTCAAAGACAGCTATGTTGAATTATTCTATCATGATTAAGCATAAAATCAAATTTCCATAAAGACTATACAGGTTTTGTAGTACTAACAATCACATCTGCTTGTGTCTCAATTGTATTTTGGCTCTCATTCAAATTATCTATACATTGTATTGGAGTGTCTTTAATCTAAAAATAGATGACAGACTTGAATACAATAATCAGACAGACAGATAGACAGACAGAAAAAGCAGACAGACAGATTTCTTGTTTTTTACTTTGTTTTTCATTTTTATTCTTTTGTAAGGACAGGACTAGCCTTAAACATGCATGATAAAACAAGCTATTTGAATAAGTGTATTAGAAATCATTATTCATCTGATTGAAATTAAGAGAAGCAAAAATATTTGTCATAAGGACACCCTTTAAAACATAAGAAAAAATATTCATACAAACATTACAAATCTGACTCATGAATTATCTTTGTTTGAATAGATCTAAAATCAAATATAAACTTTTTAAAAATTACATATATCCTATATATTTTTGTCTCAAACTGGTTTTATGTTGGTACCTTTGGTGAACATTCCTCATGTGTATCCTCATCTAGTTCTTTTCTTGTTAATTCTTTTCTGTAGCTAATACAGACAGCTAAAAATTAGATAAGTCAAAACATTATAAGCAACATAATCTGTCTGGTGCATGTTTGTAGAATATGTAAGAATATTATATTTATATTATTTAGCATTGTATTGATATACAGTGGAGCTAAATCACTTTTCAAGGTACAGACATGAATTTATTCAAAAACAATAATAATTTCAAATTTCAAATTTATTATTTTTATAAAGCACCATCATCATGATCATATGCAAAATGTTTGATAAGTTTTGATTTGATGTACATGAAAGTTTGACTTTCTGTTTGAGTAGTTGTGGCAAGTGAGATTTTCATTAATCATTAACTTTTATATTTATAAAACATGTTTCTATAATATATGGCTTTATGCTCAGTTATGATTGATTTAAACAACAATCGTTGACCTGTTAGGTGTTTGGAAGCTATAAAAAACTGTGTTAAAAATTTTTTATTATATTTTTTCACCCATAATCTTGTCTCTTGTTACTTTTTTTTTAATTGTAATTGAAATGTCTAATTTTCTGACTTGTGTTATTGGGTTTCTGTACTTATTGACCTCTAACCTAAGAGTAGTGATAGTCATGTCATAGTGTACATTGTTTATCAGTTTTACTATAGGAGATACCTGGTGACCTTTTGATATTCTAGGGAGTTAAGAGGGGAGGGTTCAAGGGGATTTTGAAAATAAGTGGCTCAACTTTGTAAGAATGTCTGCCTATAAATACAAATGTAGTTTGAAACTATATAATTAAACTTATACAATAAAGAAAATAAATAATTGTGATACTAAAACTAAAAAGTCATACTGCTCTGCTGAGGAAAAAAAAAGAAGCTGTCTCTAAAAACAAGAACCTGTACCCCTTTGAGAATATCAAATAATTGTCCCGGGCTCAAGTAAATTATTCAAAGAACTCTGTAATATTAAAAACAGAAGTTAGGTCTGCTATGTGACATGAAATGTTGTAAATTATTTTCTAACAATGGCCAAATTAAATACAATTATATTAAACGGAAGGAGATGAACTTCTAAGAACATTTATAAGATACAAAGGCGTAGCACCCTCCCTTGCTCTAAAAGTTGAGTTTTACAGGGTGTTTTACATTTGTACATGTACCCCCCCTCTTATACAAAAATAAATTGACTTACGTGTTCATACTAGTAGAACAACGCCAGTTTTTCTGAATAAAGTTGTAACATCATCAAACTGCAGACATTTACTTCTTTTTCTTTTCTTGTCACTGTGCCGAACAACTTCAGACGACTGAGTATGGTCTATTTCTGGATGTGTACTTATGTGGGATGGTACGAGACAAAGAAGTCTATATCTTTTCTTTTCATTTTGTTTTAGGAAGTTATTAAAATGTGATGAACATTAGAACAAATGGAGTAGGTATTAAATAACACATTTTGTGGTAAAATACCAGCTTCAGTAAGCACAATAATAATGTCATTATAGGAACATGTTTTTAAATGGAAAAAGTCTTCAGAACATCTGATAAATTCTTTGGATAACGATCCAAAGTGGCAGAAAGTCATTTTCAATCACACTAAATCATTATTTGTCGATTACAAAGCCTTGAATTTTCTAAAGTTAATGTGGTGGCTGTTTATATTTTGTTGCCTGCTGACAGCTTGTTTATTTGTTACCTCCTAACAGGAAGAGTTCTTTACAAGGGAGATAACTTTACAACTGTGTTGGAATAAATATTGATGTTAGCACTAGCTGTACTACATAGACAGTTATATGCACTAAACAGATGTACTTATTTTGATTTATATTATATATTACATTCAAAATAGCACTTTAGTGCAGCATTTGAAAAGAATATTTATTTCAAATCCATAAAACGTCACCACATTTTTTAGCTCACCTGGCCCGAAGGGCCAAGTGAGCTTTTCTCATCACTTGGCGTCCGTCGTCCGTCGTCGTCCGGCGTCGTCCGGCGTCGTCCGTCGTCGTCCGTCGTCGGCGTTAACTTTTTACATTTTGAACTTCTTCTAGAGAACCACTGAATGGAATGAAACAAAACATGGCATGAATGTTCCTTATGAGGTGCTGACCAAGTGTTGTTACTTTGTAGCCGATCCATCATCCAAGATGGCCGCCAGCTGAGGACTTAGTTTAACACAGGACCCTATGGAAAATGCATACAAATGACTTCTTTTAGAGAACCACTGAATGGAATGAAACCAAACATGGCATGAATGTTCCTTATGAGGTGCTGACCAAGTGTTGTTACTTTGTAGCCGATCCATCATCCAAGATGGCCGCCATCGGGGAACTTAGTTTAACATAGGACCCTATGGGAAATACATACAAATGTCTTCTTTTAGAGAACCACTGAATGGAACGAAACCAAACATGGCATGAATGTTCCTTATGAGGTGCTGACCAAGTGTTGTTACTTTGTAGCCGATCCATCATCCAAGATGGCCGCCAGCAGGGGACTTAGTTTAACATAGGACCCTATGGGAAATGCATACAAATGACTTCTTTTAGAGAACCACTGAATGTAATGAAACCAAACATGGCATGAATGTTCCTTATTAGGTGCTCACCAAGTGTTGTTACTTTGTAGCCGATCCATCATCCAAGATGGCCGCCAGCGGGGGACTTAGTTTAACATAGGACCCTATGGGAAATGCATACAAATGACTTCTTTTAGAGAACCACTGAATGGAATAAAACCAAACATGGCATGAATGTTCCTTATGAGGTGCTGACCATGAGTTGTTACTTTGTAGCCGATCCATCATCCAAGATGGTCGCCATTGGGGAACTTAGTTTAACATAGGACCCTATGGGAAATACATACAAATGTCTTCTTTTAGAGAACCACTGAATGGAATGAAACCAAACATGGCATGAATGTTCCTTATGAGGTGCTGACCAAGTGTTGTTACTTTGTAGGCAATCCATCATCCAAGATGGCCGGCAGCGGGGGACTTAGTTTAACATGGGACCCTATGGGAAATACATACAAATGTCTTCTTTTAGAGAACCACTGAATGGAATGGAACCAAATATGGCATGAATGTTCCTTATGAGATGCTGACCAAGTGTTGTTACTTTGATGTCGGTCCATCATCCAAGATGGCTGCCAGCAGGGGACTTAGTTTAACATAGGACCCTATTGGAAATACATACAAATGTCTTCTTTTAGAGAACCACTGAATGGAATGAAACCAAACATGGCATGAATGTTCCTTATGAGGTTCTGACCAAGTGTTGTTACTTTGTAGCCGATCCATCATCCAAGATGGCCGCCAGCGGGGGACTTAGTTTAACATAGGACCCTATGGAAAATACATACAAATGTCTTCTTTTAGAGAACCACTGAATGGATTGAAACCAAACATGGCATGAATGTTCCTTATGAGGTGCTGACCAAGTGTTGTTACTTTGCAGTCGGTCCATCATCCAAGATGGCAGACAGCAGGGGACTTAGTTTAACAAAGGACCTATGGGAAATACATACAAATGTCTTCTTTTATAGAGAACCACTGAATGGAATGAAACCAAACATGGCATGAATGTTCCTTATGAGATGCTGACCAAGTGTTGTTACTTTGTAGCTGATCCATCATCCAAGATGGTCGCCAGCGGGGGACTTAGTTTTACATAGGACCCTTTGGGAAATACATGAAAATGTCTTCGTTTGGAGAACCAATAAATGGAATGGAACCAAACATGGCATGAATGTTCCTTATGAGATGTTGACCAAGTGTTGTTACTTTGCAGCCGATCCATCATCCAAGATGGCCGACAGCGGGGGACTTAATTTAACATAGGACCCTATGGGAAATACATACAATTGTCTTCTTTTAGGGAACCACTGAATGGAATTGAACCAAACATGGCATGAATGTTCCTTATGAGTTGCTGACCAAGTGTTGTTACTTTGCAGTCGATCCATCATCCAAGATGGCCGAGTGTTGCTACTTTGTTGCCGATTTACTGTTCAAGATGGCCACCAGGATATTTTATTAAATAACGGGACCAATATTAATCAAAATTTGGCCTCAATCATTATTTGGGTATCTGTTATGATTTTTATCTATCTTTACATGATTTCTAAAACCAAAGTAGAGTCAGGTGAGCGACACAGGCTCTTGAGAGCCTCTAGTTACAAATTATATGCAAATATAGTGTCAAAACAATGCATTTAACTTTTTTATTTTAAATTTCACCTCTCTATAAATTAATATACATTGAAAATAATATATTTAAGATTTATCCCTAAAACATCACACAGATCTGTTGTCCAGATTTGTTTTTAATTTGTTTTGAAATTTGCTAAATATATTAAATTCGAAAATTAGTGTGTTTTCCCAGAGTTCCACAGGCTGGTATAGTAAAATAAAAATATGCACAGCTTTCATTTTTTAAATTTAAGAAGAACTATAATGTTCCTTTTTAGGGAATCTACAGTGATGAAATAAAAATATTTCCTTTTTATGTTAAGATTGAATAAAAAACTTAGTATTTTTATCAGTTTTTGAATGAAAAAAAAGAGTCTTTTTAAATATGTTGTGTTACCATGGCAACATATATTTTTTTTAACATTTTTTTTATATGAATTATGTTTTATGCTTTTAATGCACCTTTGAGCCAAGTTTTGTCTGATTTCATGACATACCATTTCCTTGTCATTTTGGTGCTTACAGAGAATGACTCATAAGATTTAAACATAAAAATAAGAAACGGGACCTAAACTTTCAAAACGAGTTCATCCATAACTTATCTAAATGAGATATAACTGAAACAAATGTAACCACAAACAATTGATAAAATTTTTTCAATCATTTGAGAGGTCTTTGCGATTGAAATATTATTTTAGTACTTATGTACGCATAGCAACTAAAAACCACCCTTTCAAAGTTAAGGCTAACTTTCAAGTTCCAATCATTGGCGATAATTCAATAGAAAAATACATTTTCTACACAAAACACGAATTATCGATTACCTAGTGCTAGTTTTGAATTGATGTCAAATGTTCCGCTG